TACCACCATAAGACTTATGTTGGGTTTTACCTTTCTTCTTATCAAACCTACCATCTCTCTTCAATGATTTCCCCTTTATGGACAACCCTTTGCCAACTGATGATGATGGTTTCTGCTCCTTTCTTTCGTTCAAATCCTTCGAATACAAGGTTGTTTGAACTTCTTCAAAGATCAGAGACTCTCTTCCATACAAGAGAGTTTCTTTGAAGTGAGCATGTAACTTAGGTAAATAACACAACAATAACAACGCTTAATCTTCATCATTGATGGTAACATCAATATTTTCAAGATCAAGAATCAGCTTGCTGAACGTATCCAGCTGCTTCGTTAACACTTTATCTTCAGTCATCTTGAATGAATACAAAACATGCTTCAAGTACAAACGATTCACCAAGGATTTTGTCATATACAATCCTTCGAGTTTCATCGAAACACTAGTTGTCGTCTTCTCCTTCGAAACCTGTCTGAGAACTTTATCACCAAGACTCAGAACAATTGCATTGTGGGCTTTCTCGATCATCGTTGTCTTTTCCTTCTCCGTCAGTGCAACATCCATGGCATCTCTTCCCTTTTAACGTTTCTAGCAAAGCCTATTGAACAAGAAGGGCTCGCATCTCCAAACGCCATAACCCGAAATCATTAACTCCAGTGAACTTCTCAACTTCAAACTTTGTTGACGAAATCTTTTCCACGCTCATCGCACCAGTTTGTTGTGATCACAAACGATACATTTCAACAAGTCAAGATTGAGAAACAGAGTTCTTGGGTGAACAATGAAATCAGTTAGAACAAAGAGAGAAAGATGAAAATGATAAAGAAGAATGAAGAAAAAGGATTATGGCAAATTGTTTACTATTCACTTTCTCATAAGGGATTACAAATGAATATCTCAATTGACCTCACTCAACAACCTGAGTGATCTAGTCTATATATAGACTAACTAGATAACTTGTAACTCAAGTTAACTAAACAATTAGATTCATAACAAAAAACTCAATTCGACAAACATTTCGACAATACCTATTAGAACAAACTTCGACTACAATATGTATCTTTCGACCACATCATGCGACCCATCTTCGACCTCATGCTTGTCTCCTGTCAAAATACATGAAAGTTATTTCTCGACAAAGCTTGAATTCGATTCAAAATTTCACAATACAAAATTAATTTCGTAAACAATCTAAAATAGGAGGACAAAAATTATACAAATCTATTTTAATTTTAAAAATATTAATTTAAACACACTTTAATTTAATAAAGAAATTTCTATGTAGTGGATGAAATGTATACATCAATGACTTTTTAGTGACTTGTTTACATTAAAACGTTAAAAATTATAGTTGTTGTATTATAATAATTCTCATTATTTTATCGCTATTGAAAAAATAATTTTAAATAATTGTTAATTATATTGAAAGATTTTTTTAATACGTTAAAAAATGTAGTTGTTATATCATGGGAATTCTCATTTTTTAACACTATTAGCAAAAATTAATTTTAATTAAATCTTAATTGTGAACAAAGATATTTTTTATATATAATATATTCATTGATTAAATTAGTTTATTATTATTATTATTAAATTAAATTAAATTAAATTAACGAAAGTTATAGTCTCATTCCTTTAGTTTAATGCATAGTAGAAAAAAATCTAAAAAAACCCTTACAAAAGGTGACGTGACTAGATTAGAAGATAGAAAAAGAATGGTAAAATAGTATATTTGATAGTAAGGTATTTGTGAGGAGACTTCAGCCTATAACTTCCAAGTGGAGATACCTTAGGCAATCAGTTTTTTATTGGTATTTGACTTCCAATTTTTGAAACAACATTCAACAACTTATCAATTTCAATACTTGTTGCGATTCGATTCTTTTGTCGTGGTCTCAACTATTGGAGTTGCATTTGACTCTTACATTATTAAAATACAATTGTGCATAATATATTGACTTTTTAAAACATCAAAGTTGGATTTTTCATCTATTATGTGAGAATTGAATCTAAACCCACACTACAAGTGAGGATTGATGTTAAAGTTAAATTTGAGTATATCACATTGCTATGATTCTTGGGCTTTGTAATGTCTATGTTTGAGTATTTGTCCTATCACCTTAAAATTTTTACCCCAAACACTCATCTCCGTATCTCTATGTTTTATAAAAAATGTCAATTTTATTTTTATATATTTTTAACTAATTTTTTATTCTAGTTTTTTAAATATTTTTTTAAGATTTTCAAAATTTTGGACCTCTACATATGTGTACTGTATTTTTTTTAAGTTGAAAAAAGTTTTGATATTGTCTAAAATTTTAATGTACCTGAACACATCGAAAATATTTTTCAGAATGAATTTTATTGTGTTCTGAAACATTCTATGTAAAATTTCTCATGTTATTTTTTGTGTCTATTAGAAGATTTCAAAGAAATAGTTATGATACTCAATTTTTAAATATTTTTTAACTTTTATTTTATTTATCAAAAGATTTAGTAAAATAATTCTATTAATTAATTTTTTTAAACTTTTATTTTGTGTTACAAAAGACTTCGTAAAAATGTTCCTTAGTCAGAATTTTTAAATATTTTTTACTTTTATTTTATGTATTGAAATACTTTACAAAAGAGTTTTGATAGTCAGCTTTTTTAATATTATTTAATTTTTATGTGTGTTGGAAGACTTTGCAAAAAAAATTTGGTAGTCAGTTTTTAAAATATTTTTTAACTTTTATTTTGTGTATCGAAAAATTTTGCAAAAAAATTCTGATAATCAATTTTTTAAATATTTTTTAACTTTTTATTTTATATATCAAAATATTTTGTAAAAGAGTTTAGATAGTCAATTTTATTTAATATTTTTAACTATATCGAAAGACTTTGCAAAATAATTTTGTTGAATCAAAATAACGAAATGAAAAAAAAAGTGAAATTTTGACTAATAAACAAGTTATATGAGAATATTTTGATTTAAAAAAATAATATAAGAGTAAGAGAATAAAAAATAGAGTGTAAGATAAAATTTTCATCACCTTCTTATTTTGACTTTCCAGTACCTACTATATACAATTTTATTAGAATCTCTTTCATATAAGTGTGAGAATATTTGGAAAAAAAAAAGGTGGATTTTCGAATTTTTGAATTAATATATAAATTTATCTTACAAATTTCTTGTTTTCTAATTTTTTTTTTATCTGGAATTTTTGAATGTTTATCAGATTTTTAAATTTTTAATATAAAAGGTTAGATTTTAACAGATATAAAATCATAATTTGTTTTTAAAATTCCATAAATTTATATCAATTTCTTCAAAATTTTGATACAAATTATAATTTTTTTAATCAATTTTTTCAAATATTCAAAAAACTACAAATATACCGGATTTATCCAAAAAAAAATTGATAGTGTTAACTTTATTTTTTTATTAATCTATTGAATATGAACTACTAAAATTTGAAAAAATTACAATAATACCGAATTTATCACAAAAAATTACAATAATACCAAATTTATCAAAGATCTAATAGTGTTAACTTTGTTTTTTTATAGACCTACCAAATAAAAACTATTGGCTTTTTTAAAAATCCAAAAATTGATATGGTTGCTTTCCTGTTTTTTTTTTAATTCTGGTAAAATTATGGATTTTTTAATTGGCCTATCGAATTTTTGGCAGAGAGAGAGAGAGAGAGAAAGCATGAAAAATATAAGAGGAATTTTAGTCAATATGAATAATTGGAGGGTGGCATGTCTAATTCAAAGGGTGGTAGGACAAATTCTTTATATGTTTAAACGCTCTCATCTTTTACGCCAGCCTTTGACTATGAAATGCAATCACATTTAACATCATATAAAAAACTTTGTTGACATCAATATTCTTCTAAATTTCTGGCTAGCCAACAAACCATTACGCCATAAACTAGTTGAAATAGTGAAGTCAACAATGACAATGTAATTAAAAGGGATCACAAATTAATCTTAATGAAATAACTCTATTTCAAGGTGCACCCTGTTGACTTTGATGATAACAACCTACAAATCTCTCTATCCAGAAGGATGGGACAGTCCTCTATTGAAAGACATGTGTCAAATACGTGACACATTTACATTAAGAGATATCCGTGCTACATAGTAAAAAATATAGAAACATCGAAAGTGTGAATTAACCATTAACACAAAACATAAATAATTTTATTAGTATGTGTCAGACACAAGACACGCTTGTATTAAGAGGTATCAGTGCTAGATATGTATGTGTCAGACACAAGACACGCCTGTATTAAAAGGTGTCTAGATAAGAAACAACTCGAAAGTGTGAATTAAACATTAGCACAAAAGATAAACAAATTGATCCTTATAAAACACACAAAGATGAATTATAAGAGGATCAATAAAGCACATGGTGAAGAAGAAGAAAACCCAAAGCTGGCATATGATGAAGGTAGGACAGACAGCACATATCCAATCACCTAAAAGCAGCACATGCCATAAAATTGGACCATAGCCGTATATTTACAATCATACAATATCATTATATACTCCACTCAACAAACAAACCATCATATTACAAACCATCATCATACACCTGAACTGCTATCTATCTCCAACTCATGCTAAACAAATTTGTTCTCCAAAAGTTGTACCCACAAATAATGGATTCACATTTTTAGCCATTTGCAGCCCAACATGAAATCAGTGTCATCATTTCAATCCATCTATTTTTCTTCTCAAAATGAATCCAAATTTCATGCCAAACAAAGTTGAGAGTAATGTAACAAAATAAACTCAATGTAATGAACAAACAAATGAATCAATGACTTGGTTCTTCACTTCTTTTCCATATTCCTATCAAAATCTAACAATGCCATTTTTTGGGGTGATTTTCATCTTTGTTCTATGTAATCAATGTATAATAATAAATAAATATGAAATATATTAAACAAGCCTTCTCAACTTAACACAAGTAATCAATTTTCCTAATCTAAAAAAAAAAACAAAATCAAAACTTTTTTCAACGACAACATTTGGAGCAAACAATTAAAAACACAATAAGAAAAACAATGGAAGAAAGTGCAATAGCCACGCCAAGAACAAACTTGTTAGGCCCATGATGATTATCCTTCTTGTGCTTGCTACTACCATCATCATCACTGTCATCATAATCATCATCGCTGCTATCATCTGCAGAAGAATCCTTTGAAGCAGGAGGAGACACCGGCTTTCCATACTTATCACAAGGAGAAACTCCGAGTTTCAGTTTCGAAGACAAAACTGAATGATTGTAACATAAATTGCTATTCCCACCAAGTTTGAACACTTCTAACCCCTTTATGAATGTGAGGTTAAAGGGAACAACACCGTGAAGGTTATTGTTAGCTAGATTCAAGTACTTGATACTCTTCATTTCAGAAATGAACTTTGGGATAGACCCATTGAGTTGGTTTGAACTCAGATCCAAATGAAGTAAACCAGGAAGAGCAGAAAATGAATCTGGGATAGACCCAGAAAATGAATTTGAAGCCAAGGAGAGGTTTTTGAGAGAAATCAAGTCACCAATAGAAGAGGGTATTTCACCGGAAAGTTTATTAGAGGAAAGATTCAAACTTTGAAGACTATCAAGCATGGTAATTGAAATGGGTATATTTCCTTTAAGCTGATTACCTGAAAAATCAACATGGGTGAGATTTGAATGAATGTGACCAGGTAAGAAACCAGTGAGGTTAGCATGAGAAACTGTCAAGGTTTTGAGGTAGTTCATGTGGCCAAGAATGACATAAGGACCAGAAGCTTTGACTTGGACATTTGAGACAGTGAGATCGGTGAGATTCTGAAGCTGAGAGAGCCAAACGCCGGAGATTCTGCGGAGGCTGTTGATGCAGGTGAAGGTTCTGAGAGATGAGATGAGTTGGGGAGGGAAGCGGATAGGTGAAATGGGGCAGTTGATGAGATTGAGTGAGGTGAGAGTAGAGAGTGATTTGAGTGCGGTGAAAGAGAGAGAGACATAGGAGGAACAGTTGGAGAGGGTTAGGGAGATGAGGTGGCGGAAGGGTTTGGAGGAGTCACAGAGGGTGGCATTGTGGAAGGAAGGTTGAGAACATGGGTCTTTTGAGGTTGGGATGTTGAGGGATTGTAGGGCTGTGATTTGTTTAGGGTCAAGAGTGGATTTAGATGATGAAGGAGTTGAAGGAGTTGAAGGTGGTGATGATGTGGGAGAAGGGGTTGGTGGGAGAGGAAGAGAGGGAGATGAAGAGGCTGTAATGGTGGTGGAGAAGAAGAGGAAGAGAATGAACAAGAGTGGTTTCATGGTTAAGAAACATGAACATGTGTTTGTTGTTTGTGAGATGAAAACAAATGAATGTAGGAGTGTGTTTGAGGTTGATTAATGTTGTACTGTGTTGGATTTGTTGTTACTAATTAAGTATGTATCATAGGAGTGACCTGGTCACAGTTGGAGATTGGAAGAGAACTTGTTTGTTTTGTTCCATTTGATTTGGAGATATTTACAGAATTGGACATTTTATTTTAGTATTTTTTAAAGAATAATAACGGTTGGAAATTGAGGAGAATAAAAACACTCTTGTTGATTTACAAAAGATGGGAAGGAAATAAAATATTTTTAAATTTTATTGGTGATTAAGTAGTACATGGGGTTGCACATGCAAATGGAAGGACAGCAGGCATCATATTTATCAATAACAAAATACCATGATTTAAATACTATTCTATGAGAAAATTTTACTTTTTTTTGGGAGCAGAAAAAGTTATTTGTTAGTTAATTATGGTTTAACAAAATGGGTAATGTTAACTTGTGCCCTTGGGGCACATGTTAAGAACTAAATTAAGAAATATCATCTTGGAAATTGTGTACAAACTTAAATTAAAGTATAAAATTAATTTTTAAATTGTTTTTTCCAATACAAATTTACTAAAAGTGGTTTCCTTAACATGTGCCCCAAGGGCACAAGTTAACATTACCCTAACAAAATATTGCATTTGAACCCAAACATTAACTAATTAAATATCCACGCGTCATTTATAATAAATTTATTTGAAATGATAGACATAAAAATTGAAATATCTATCTCACGTTCGATGTTATTTGTTTCACATTTGTTAACTTTTTTGTCCAGTCGTCTTAAGAATAATAGTAATGTTAATTTATCCATTAACCACCTTAATGTTCTTTTCAAATTTAAATCTCTCTTCGACAAAAACATGTTGACCTGCAATTTTCTAAATATCTTTTCGAATTTTTTAAATTGTCTTTCTTTTTCATCTTTCTTTTTTAAGTATGGGTATGTCAGCTTAGCATAATAAGAAGTTTCTTTCTCTTTATTTTTCTCTCCACAACCACGATTTTCTCTCCATTCTCTCTTTTCTTCACCTCAATGTTCTCACTTAATTCACTCTTTTCTTTTTCAGCTTTACACTCACTCTCATTCTCGCTTCATTTGTTTTCGTCAATTTTTTCTTCACTCTCATTATCAATTACCAAATCTCCTACCTTTCTCTTAGCTTCTTTGGATAATTTCTTCTTCTTACCCTTAATACCAAATAATGTGGGTATCCTTCTACCTCTTAAATCAATAACATGGAAATTTTCATTCTTTGGATTATTAACATTATTTCTAGTAAATTCTCCATTGGACCGATGAGTTACATGTCTTGACATTTTCTCCAGTTTCCAAATTTCTAATGGAAACTTTAGTGTTCTTATTAGCTATTTCTTGATTTATCTTGATAGCTTATATATTAATATGAGTAGATTTTAAATTTATTTGAGTCACTTTCATAAATTGAGTGAGGATTTTTTCTAACACAAATGGTTTTCTCAATTGTTGATTTCGACTGTAGTGATTCTGGTAGAGTTTAATTTTTTTGTGTTATTTCATTTGAGGTTTGACATGTTGTTTCACATAAAACTTGGATAATCTTTCCACCTTAGATTATAGGTGTTGGAGTACATATTGTCTCTTTTGAAATTTTCCATGTAGTAGGATTCCTCTTTCAGTCTACCTTTAGGAACACATTGGTCATTTGCATGACCCCCTCCACAAAAATCACATCGAAGAATTTGAACTTAAACAAACACATTGACTGAAGAACCAATCATGGTTAGGCACATTTGGGATGATCCTTATAGATTCACCAAGATATTTCATCCTAGCTAACAATGTTTTTTTGGGATGAAATATATTTTCCTTTCAGGTAGTCTCACAAGATATTTCATCTAAAATATCTTAAATATCTTGGTGAAACAATGCATGTTTTCGATGAAATATCTTTTCCTTTCAGGTAGTCTCAAAAGTTCCTAAATATGGTTCTTCTGTAATGAATAAATTTAATCATTTAGTTCCTTCAACCATTTATGACTTTCTTTACTTTTAAATTCCTGCTTGAAGTTATTTAGGTTAGAGCCTTGCAACCTTTCATCCACAATTAAGGCATAAAAATAATATCAACTTAGTCATACCTTCGAGGTCATGTAATCATCTTCCTTTTCCTATCACGAGTCAATAGATAGTATGGAGCCAATGTAGGTTGAACTTCTCTAGAACTATAAGTGAGAAACATCATCCACGTCTCTAGTCTAACAAGTAGGAACCTCCACCTCAAATCGAGTCTTCTTAGTTTCTAAGTCTTTCACTTCTAAAATTTTCCATTTCATCCTCACACAGATCTTATCAAAAGTATCATCTCTACTTATGATAAAATTTGATCTTCCAAGGTCAATCTTCCATAACTTTTATCCCTTTGCACCTTCAGGATAACCAATAAAAACACAGTTTAGAACTCTAGCATCAAGCTTGTCTTGTTTTATATGTACAAACTTCAAAGCTCTGAAAACCTTTAAATTATAGTAGTCTTGTTTCAACTTACTTGTTTCTTTATTTAACTTCTTACAAATACGAAAAAAAAATCATGATAAGAAAAGTGGAAAGTTACCTTGTGATCTTCATGATTTGCCATGACACATATATTTGCTTCTTTTTCATCTGAGGAGTTTATGTCATTCTCGTCCCAGACAATGTAAGCTTTCTTTTCTTCCTTCTGAGGTTTCTTAAACTTTTCCAGATTCTGATTCTTCTTTTGATTTTGAGGGATGTTTGGTCTTATATGCCATTTCTTTTCACATAGGAAGCATACCAGAGTAAACGATGATCTTCCTTCATTCTCTTTCTCCTTTTGTTGCTTTTCTCATTTCATGAACCTACTGAAATTACGAATGATTAGTGTCATTTCCTAATCACTCGAGTCAAAGTCTTTTTCTCCAGTCTTGAACACCAAGGTCTTCTTCTACTTGTCGCCTTCTTTATATTATACAAGTCTCTTCAATCCATCTCATGTTCCTATAATTTACCAAAGAAAGTAGCCACGTCCTTGGATGACAAATTCCTAGATTCAGAAACCCCAATGACTTTCGGTTTCCAACTACAGCTTATGCATCTAAAAACTTTTACAACTGAGTCCTTGTTTTGAAAAACTTTTCCAAGGGTTCTCATGTGCTAACTATACAGATAAAGTGTTTGTGCATATTATAAATATTTTCTCAAGGCTTCATCCTAAATAGTTCATATTCATGAGCCAATGTGTTCATCCTTTCCTTTTTTGTCTCGACAATACCTTCATGGGTAACTTGGATGATGTCCCACATTTCTTTAGCAGTCTCGCAGTGTGAATATGCAAAAACTCATCATATTTCTTTTTTGCTTACCACAATATTATTAACTTCATGTGTGGGAACAAATGGACCACTTTTTATAGTCTTTCACATTTCAAAATTTATCCCATCAATGAAGATACTCAATTCCACTTTCTACAAAACATATCCTTATCTATTAAAGGATTGTGGTTTGTTAAATGAATTGGTTGAAGTTATTTCCTTCCTACTGAGATGTTTAGTTTTGAACATGAGTTAGACTTTGATGTCACTTGTTGAACAAATGACTCCAAACATAAGAGGGGATGAATTGTGAAATGTTGAAATCATGATTAATTTTAAAAAAATATTTTTCTTTGAAAACAATTTATGTTAGTGCAGAAATAACGCATCAGAAAATAGAAGAAAAGAAAATAAATCAACAGAGACAAAAGAGATAGAAATGGAGATATTGCACCAGGATTTATAGAGGTTTGACCTACGACTTGGCCTACTCCTCTCCCCAAGAATTTCTTCTTAAGATTTCCACTAAAATAATGTCTTGAGCTTTTATGAATATGCTCATGAACCTTATTACAAAGATGGGAGATTTTGATGGAGCTTTTGACAGATAAGCTCACGAACCAAAGAGATATTTTACCGACTAATCTCAAGAACCAAATAGAGATTTTACAAGGACAATCTCAATAACCAAACAACCATTTTACCAGGATAATCTCAATAACCAAATGTTCAAACAAGAGAATTGCTCTCTTGATGATCAACACTTAAGCAGGAACACCAATACAATAAGAAACTCTATGAAGTTTTTTTCACTTACAAGACACTAAAACAATTATAGTGAAAAATATACGAAGGAGAGAAGAGAGAAAATAAGAAAAGGATAGTAGAAATCTAAATTCTAGTATGTTTTCAAATAAGGAGAAGCTTCATTTATATAGAAAAAAATATAGCCCAAAAAGGAAAATAATCTATGAACTTTTTAATAGTCATAATCCATTATGCTCATCACCTAATTGATTATGTAGTTTAAATATGGAAAGTTTTCAAATTCGTCGTCACTAATCGATTAGAAATCCTAATAATCAATTATGAGACATTACAAATAAGATAATTGATTAACCCTAATGTTTTAATTGATTATCTAATGTAAACCACACTCCTAAAAGATTATTCAAGCTAGTAACCAACTAGCTACTTGCATAAAACATTTTCTGGTGATTTCATAAAAGTACATAGGCTTCAAAAACTTTTTATTGTGCTTGTGTGAGAGTTGCCTTAGTATCTTATGAGATGTTCTTATACTTTAAAATACACTGATCACTCAAACACACAACAAGACGAGTTTTCATACTTTCTCTCTTTCACAACCTTAAAGCTTCAAAAACCTTGTTATATTCACCATGAATTCAACACTTTATCTGGGAGTTGACTGCTTATATATGATGATTTTTTATAGGACTTCTTTGATAGATGCCATCACCAGAGGTTTCTTGATCAAAGATCTTCGACAAATCCATCAAACCCCGTTTGATATTAGGTGTTGTCATCATCATCAAAATTATCGAGTATCATCTAATACTAAGATCATTTGTAGATGATTGTACCTGCAAGCACATAGCTCTACAAAAGATAATGGCACTTCTAGCCTTATCCATCCTATATGTATTCACTGCTTATGTCAAGATTCTTAGTATCAATGCAACACCTTAGAATGCTTCTGGACTTCTTTTTTTTTGGATCAAAATTGCTCGCATATTTACTTTCCATAATCCAAAATTGTTTTATAAATAAAATCTCGATATCCCATTTAGAATTCATGGTGTTCACTTGTAAACTTAGACCATTTCTCCAATGGTAGGAGTCAATTATTGTGAAAATTAAGATCAAATGGATTCAAACACACCAAGAAAAATCATGTGTGGGACAAAAAACAATATCAACCACACTAAACAATATCAAGTAATAATCATTCTACCATTTAAAATTGTAAGCAAGTCAAAACAATAATAACAAGATAAAAGTAGAGACTCAACACACAAAAAATAGTTTATAAAAATACTTCACGTTCAATTCAAATTGATTTACTATAGGGCAAATAGTAATTATCTGACCCACTATCAACCAAACGTTTTAATCAAAAGATTATAAATGAGTTATAATAAGTTACCTCATGAATTCATTAGAACATTTTCATATTTTCATCTATTTAAGACCTTAATCTTTCCCAATTCATCACAAAATATATGAATCACTCAATCGCAAAATATTGAGGAGTCTTTCCCAATTCATCCCAAAACATTGAGAAGTCTTTCCCAATTCATATATTATAACCAAAGATCAAACAAATCCTTAAAGTGAAGAATCCAAAGATTTCTCCTTTTGTCTTTCTAAACTTCTCTCTTTAGAAACTATCTTATTCAACAAAAATACATAAAATACCTTAAGTATGACACGAGAACTGATGAACCCGTTTCACATTGCCAACGTTTCCATCAAACCACCTCATGCCTTACTTCATCCGTCTCACAAATGAGTGAGAATCAAAATACCTTAATTTTCATGGTCCATCCGCCTCGCGACCCCTTCTGAGCACCTCGTGAGTGAGATACTAGTGAAAAAAGATGAATTGTTAATTTTTCTAAAGCAAACTTCAATATTATTATGTATTATTTTAAATTGAATATTTTCTACACATAGAGACTAATTTTCTAATAGAATAAGATTAGAATAAATGATAAAACTCTCAAAATATTTAAAACTTAACTCGAGCTACAAAACTAAAACTATGTATTTAAAGTTTTAAATTTACTTTGGTGTTATATGAAAAGTGAAACATTTAAGTAAACTACTATAATTGCAAATTCCTTTAACACAAGCAGATAACATAAGTATGGCAAAGATTTATTTTCTCACTATTATTTCAATTTCTAGATCAAAAGAGAGAGAAGAAAAAACCACTATTTTTACATTGATATCTATAACAGTAAATTATTGGTCTCTTTACACATGAAAATTGTCCAAACCATGGAAAAAAAGTTCACAACCTTACAATTCAAAATTCTTACACATTTCAACAAAGAACTAGTGCTAATGACTTACACACCTTGCATATTGAATCATCATCATCATCATATGTAATCATATCTTTAACATATGATCAAAACTTGTTCACCAAGCAACATTGTTGGTAATGTAAGACTTAACAATCAATAGAAATGCAAGTCTGAGAGATAGCTGCACTATCAACTTTGCTTACAAATGGATTGATCTGAACCCAAACAAGTGAAAAGACAGAAGCCAACAACACTGACCAAAGAATAACAACGGTTGGAGTACGGTTTTGGCGACCCATAAGACCTTTAAGGAATGGATAAAGATGAAAGATCACCCAAAATGCAAAGAAAACTTTTCCAATGAGTGGTCCCCAAGATTCATAACCACCATTAAGTGCATCAGAAAATCCAGCAACGACGCCAACAAGGTTAATAATGATAAGGCTTGTTGGCGGAATTAGGAGTGTTGTCCATTTGATCATGTATAGTTCACCAAACTCTGCATCATCTGCAGCTTTTGCTGTGACTGTGAAGTTTGTATCAACACCTGCTAACATCTTTAGGAAACCTTGGAATACTGCGAAAAGATGAGCTGAAACACCTCCGATCACCCAAAATTGCTCGTTACGCCATAAATCTTCTATGGTAACACCGCTCCACCTTAGCTCAAGTACACTTGTCAATATAATGGAGATAAAGAGTCCAAGAAAGAGTGCACTTGCAAGGTTTGATAGCTGCATCATATTAGCAACAAAAAATTAATATAAGGACTTAGTGTCATTAATAATGACGTTACTTTGTGCGATGTATGAATTGCTCGTTACGCCATAAAGATGAGGAAATTACCGTTGGGATGATGAATTTTCCTGTGAGTAAGCAAATTGCAGGCAAAGTACAATAGGCAATGAGAGGAAGGGATGTGAAAGGGTAAACAATGGTGTTGATATAAGCAAGTCTCTGCAGTACTTTGAGACGACCTCCAGCGAAACCGTACCAGAGAGGACAATGTCTACTCAAGAAAATTTCAACTGATCCAAGAGCCCAACGAAGAACTTGATGCAAACGATCGGAAAGATTGATTGGTGCTGATCCTTTGAATGCAGGCCTTAAGGGCATGCAGTAAACTGATCTCCATCCACGACATTGCATCTTGAACCCCGTTAAGATATCCTCAGTAACCGAGCCATATATCCAACCAATCTGAATACACAAGAAGGTATTTGATTGCTTAAGCTACAAGAAATCTTTCAAGACACTTAAAAAGGAACTGAAAAAGTATATACGAAAACATGAATGTCTAACCTCTTTTCCCCATGCTGTCTTTTCTTCGTATCCGCAGCCAATTACATGAATGGCCTCCTTGATCAGCATTGAGGGATCAGCGGATTCAGACACACCACCATTCTCCATTAATGTTGATTCAATGAAAACAGTGGACAAACCAAATGTTTTCTCAAAGCTAAGTTGTGAAATAAGCATTGATCTCTCATACTCGTCATAATCTGCAAGAGAACGAAAAGAAACCAAACAGGTTCTGCATTGAGGAGTCTGGTTTTATACTTAAGTAAAGCTGTATGACAAAAAAAATTACTGTGCTTACTCTCAATCTCCCTAAGATTAAAAATGGCAGCATCAAGCTCTTCCCTCTTTGCATCTTTATAAAGCTCCGAGGCATCTTTAGTAGGCTTCTTTGAAGGGCAGCAACAACACGACGATGAAGATTTTGGTAAATTTGGCATAGAAGGTGGACTGTATCCGTAAAGCGCTTGTCGGTTGAAAACACATCCAGTCCCCACATATACAGGTCCTTGAATTCCATCAAGTCCTTTCATGTTAACCTGAAAGAGGTCAAGGTTAAAGATTGCATAAAGAACTGTGTCCATGATTTTCATCTCATAATTGTAAAACTCTTCATTTTCATTTAAACTTACATCAAAGAAAACTGTGTTGCGATTGGCATATCGATCACTGCGATCAATACCATCAAATCTCTGGGGGAACTGCACATAACAAAGATCTCTACCGACTACTGGATCCATCAGAAAACACATCGCTTCTCGAACAGCCTTGCTATTGTTAACATAATGATCACAATCAAGATTGAGAATGTAAGGAGCATTTGTGAGAACTGCAGACACCCTCACCTATATTAATCGAAATAAGCGTTAAGCACAACAAAATATTGATGAGCTTATATAAATGGTTAATCTTAAGTATCTATTGATCTTACCAATGCATTTTCAGCACCAGCCTTTTTGTGGTGGGTGTAACCTGGCCTTTTCTCCCTGGAAACATAAACCAACCTTGGAAGTTCATTTCCTTCTATGTCGTGGGCACCACTGTGTCCAAGAAAAACCTGACAATGATAAACAGAATGTGAGTATGCCTCTCATCGAGATTTCATTACACAAAATGAATGGATGTACCTGAATCATGCCAGGATGATCGCGCGAATTATTTCCTGGCCACGAGGTTCCGTCTTGCATAGTCCACCCTTCATCTGGTGTTTTCTGAGCCTTTGCAACCAAAGCATTAATTCTGACTTTGTACTCTTCATAGTCTCTCTGACCGAAATGAAAGACGGTCGTTAAGAGAGTGTCACAATATTTATACGATTTTATTTATGATCATACAATTTAAGTCATACAATTTAGTACTATGGAAAAGACTTTTTAAGTTCAGTTGCTTACTTTCATTGCTCTACGTTCCTTTACAAAAGAAGGTTGAACCTTGTCCTTCAAGTAATCAATCTTCTGAGAGAAGTAAAACTCGGGTGCACGTGGTTCGATCGAAAACTTTTTGCAAAACGGAACCCACTTCCTTGCAAAGTCAGCTGTCTCCACAAGGGACTCAAATGAAAGCATTGCCGCACCATCATCCGATACATAACACGATACTTTATCCACAGGATAGTCCACAGCAAGGATAGAAAGAACTGTGTTAGCTGTGATAAGTGGCGGTTCTTTCAACGGATCCACCGTACTAACAAAGAAATCCACCGCAGCTAGCTGAGAAGGTTCACCCTCTCTTTCAAACCTCGCAGAGAGCCTATCAGTATAAGCAACCCTATTGATAGGAGACCATTTAGGGAACTGATCCAACACCCAGGAAAACGCGAACCAGATCTCACAGATGATAGATGTCAACCACAGACCAAAAGCACTGTCAACCGGATGTGTAACTCGATAATGGAAAAACAGACCCAAGATTACGAGCCGCATGATTATAACAGTTCTGTATGGTCCGAGTTTCGATTTTGAGACTGGAATAATGATTGAAAGTGGCTCAGCCGCAGTCGCCTCTGAGGAAGGCCTGCAAAACATAACATGCATCCATGTCCATCAGAATTCATAGGATCCATAATAAAATGCCATTTTCAGTATGCATTTTATATAACTTTCTTCAGAAAATTAGTTTCCTTTCTCATTGAACTTACTGCATTTCTTCCATCTGCTGTTCTTGTGGAACAGGAGCCTCATTTTCAGCCTTAGGTGCTGCTTTTTTCTTCTTGTTCTTTTTGTCCTTTTCCTTCCAACTTTCCACTCTATTTTTCCAAATAGGATTCCCAGATTCATCGTTTAATTCTACGAAACAAACCAAGTTATGACTATCAGAGTCCCTTTCTAAAGATATTGCTACAAGAAATTTAAGCTATAAAGTCTTTCTTCTTTACCACTATCCACCGTTGACACAGTACTGATATGCCTAGCATGGAGACCAACATCCTACATAATACAGGAAGAGTTTGTAAGTGCAAAATCGCAACAATAGAGAATCCAAACATCAAAAACTAAAGCTAGTTGTAATGTTAAACGTAAATTCACTACCTGAGAAGTACTTATTTGTGCAGCCATTGTTGATTGATTTCCAGGAACTTTGGTAGTATCCTTACCTCTTGTTTTATCTAGAAAAACATGCAAAATGAAACAAACTATAAGATACTTCACACAAAAAATCATGTAATGAACATTATTACGAGACGCAAAGAGTATTTTGATGAACAATTTGATATTGGATTTGGACTAATGTAACCATACCAGCAGCATATGGATTACCGCATCTCAAACAAACGCTACGTCCCTCGCTGATTTCATAATCAACACAAGCCTTACAAATAGGGAAAAAGCATTCATGACAAGCCACAAACGCTTCACCATTAGCATCAACTCCAACTTGTTCACCACAAGAGTTACAGAAGTTAACACCAGATTCCATCATTTTTGTATGTCCTCAACTTCTCAATTTCTGAATGTATAAATTCTTTGATGGTTTTATATGAAAGGGCATAGAGTGAAGATTGAATTATAATATTGGTGAAGTTGATTGTAGTGTATGGTGGGTTCATTTTCAGAGAGGTTAAGTGGTTGGTGTCATTCGTTCATTGTTTAGCTCACACACAAAGACACAGTCAGAGATCTGAAGCAACAACGTGTGTGTTTTGTTCTTTTGTTTTAAAGATTTGAATTTATTGCGGGAAGTATAAGGAAGGATTTGGTTGGCATGTGTACGTCTTTTAACTAACAACAACTCTTCAACTACAAGTTTATGACCACTGACCAAAAATATTTAACCAAACTAATATTTCAAAATATTGTAGTAGTGACGCTTTTCAATGAAGAAAAATGTGATAGTTTTTTATAAAAGGTTGTAGTTTTTATTTATTTATCAAAGTAGTAAAGAAAAAAAAAAAAAAAAGGGGTCTCCTATTGATGGATTATGCCACACACAGTGTGTTGTATTATACTTGTATATTGTTTTATAATTCTTTTATTTTTATTGATACAATTTGTCTTGTTTGTCGCAAGATTTGTTTAGATACATTTGAAAAAAAATTGTTTAGATATATTTGAGAAACATACGATTTATTGTAAAGAACTTTCACATTTTAAATATCGATATAATTTTATTAGATAAGTCATATTTAATATATTTCACTTGGAAAGAAAGAATTTTTTGACTGATCTGCTGAATTGGAGATTGACACTTAACTTAGCAGATGTTCAAATGATTTGATTGGAGAGAAACATGTATGTATGCCTCTTGACGGTGGAATTGAAGACGGTAGGTTTTATTGTGGGGCAGACACTTTTCAAAGTTGTTTTCAGTAAAATGGTTAAACATGAAGTAAAAAAACATATTCCTACCATCAATATATTACATACAATTTATCTTTGACACTTTTAATTTTATCATTTAAACTTTTATAAAGAGTCTAATAACGCATAACAATATTGTGTATCTTAAGTCAATGATGTAATATTTAAAAGATTAATTTTGTCATTCAAAAAGAATAGTACCCAACTTATTGTTATGCAAAACTATAGACTTTAACTTAGGTCAATGCATGTGGAAGATCCAACTTTGTTTAAATATTTAAAGATTATGAGTTTTTCAATCTATTTTATATGAGAAATGATATTTTTACACCAAATGTGACAACTAATACCGTTAATTTTACTTTTTAAAATATATTTAATGATTATTTTTCAATTTTACTTATATAAAGACACACATGCTAATGTTGTATTTTAGATGGTGTAGGATTTTGGTGTTAGAATAGCAATGCTCATTTTATATGTTTAAGAGGCATGCTATGTTTACACTGTTTTATTACACCTTAAACATGCTATGTTTACATTGTTTTATTACACCATATACACATGTTGTGATGCATGGAAATTAAAGTGAAAAAATAAATTATTAAAAAAATGATGAAAGTACTTTTATGGTATAACTTACTGTGTAAGTGTACAAATCAGTATCAAATGAGCATTTCTCATTAAATCTATCAAAATACGTTATCAAAATGGTCTTTTGAGGGTGGATTGAAATACTTACTAAAAACATGTAGTACATGATCTTTCGATGTTGTACAATAGATATGATAAGTTTAACTTTAATATATAACTATTTTAAACAAATTATAAAATTACTTTCCTACATATAACTTTTGAAGATATGATTAAGGCATCTAATATAAACATACCTAAATATTTACTTTACTAAATACATCATTTAAAAATGACGTAATAAAGCGAGAATTTATTTGACTTTCAATGGAGGAGTAGGCTTCAAAGTTCAAACTGCTGATAAAAGATGATACATGACAGTTTACTGACAAGGTTTCGTGTATCTCATCCTTCTTACCTTATTCAGCTAAAATCTTAGCATTTATTATTTATAACAAATGCTTTAGTATATGTTACTAACCAGCAAAATGACACCTTTCTATTCCCAAGTTGTTCTAACGTCACTTTATATTATTAAATCAAGTGAAATTTAACATAAGAAAATTCATTTCCTGTTTTCCTTTTTCTCATAACTCATGAGATAAACATCAGAAATAAGCATCTTCCAACACAAGAATGTTAAAAAACAAAACAAGTTTTAAACATTTCAATATTTAGACTTGGTTAGTTGCTGCTTATACATATTTGATGCTTCTGCCAAATTAACCGACACCGTAGAACAATGTTGTCTTCCTCTTCATCGTCGTCTAGATCCGTTGGATTCACATGCAACAGTCACATTTGTACAAGTAGAAGTTCATCCAAGAATTAGTCGATTGCGAATATGTATGATATCTCCAATGTGTACAGCTTCTATTATGTATTGTAGCAAATCTACAAACTATGAAGCACCGTCATGTGTCACCTCCACAATTCCTGAAAATAGAAATACACAATTGATACGTCACTCGCGAGTATTTGTGCTAACAGATAAGTTCAAATAAGTCAATTCAAACAAAATTAGAGAAGGAAATATAAGGTTGCTAGCTATAGTATTTTTAGGAAGAGGGAAATACCGCAACATTTTTGCAATTTGCATCCACACCAGCCTCCATAAGCCAATGATAAGTTTTAAATTTTCTGAAGCAACGCTCTGCTTCAGAATCGAGCCATAAATTCCAAAACAACGATGTCTCTGGAGGCATTTGTTTGTCAAAATCCAGATTTTTCCCTAGAATTCTCCGAATGACCTGAAGCTACAAGAATCCATAGATTTATTTTGGATTTTAGAATACATAAAATCAGATTTGATTCAAGTTACTAGTGCAATTTGCAGCCATATTGATACCTGGCCAACTTCGTTGCTTTTCTTGGTGCCTCCTCCGCTGCTAGAAGCAAAAGAACTTAGTTCACTCTGACCAATCACGTTAGAAACCATATTTCTTCCAACATAATCGTTTTGCAGATAGAGCTGGTGTGGAACAGTAAGGGTCTCTACGTTTGCCATTTCGAGTCCCTTGAATGTAGACATGTGCATCTCAGTTTCCAGAACAATAAATATCGAGCAGAAAATGAAAACATAGATTCATACATACCTTGGTAAGTTTTAATGAACTATCAAGAGAGAAAGGACTATTTGCCGGAGCTGAATCAAGGGCTGAAATTGAAATCCTTTCACCACCTACTTTTGCGTGAAAATCATTCAGATTGTTGACAATTTCCAGGATTGTAGTCATACTAAGATCATGTTCGCTATTTGAATCTACTCCGTCCACACAGGTTTGTGCAAGCAGTTCTGAAAGAACATGCATTGCGCCAACCATTATCTTAACATCTGGCTTTGGAGATTCAATTAAAGACTTGGAGAGACCTTCAAATGTTTTTAGAAGATCGGTATAAACATTGACTTGAGATGATGATGCATGTGCTATTGGATAATATCCCTTTGTAGGGAAAACATCACTCATTGTTGACCTACTAGCCCAAGGATTTCCAGCTCCCTTTACAGAGTCATCGACATCACCTATAGTTACATGTTTTCCTTTTGAAGTCGTGAAATCTTTTTTAGAACAAGGATGTGTCATCGTAGAATGTGAGTTTAGCATAGGATCCATAGAGGTACTTCCTGGGTTATTAACCATATTAAAAGCCTTTTCTATTCCGTTGGTGTTGGTTGAATACCGAAGCTCTTCCTTATTTAACTCTACTAGGAATTCTGCCGTAACAGTTTTCATGAGTATGTCCTCTCCTGACAGTAAATTAGTAGTCACGGGCACACCAGAGTTTGAAGACAGAAAATCATCCGTAACATATCCGATACCAGGAAAGAACTGTGGAGCTCGAGGATTTAAAGTGTTATGTTTTTCTGTTGCTTTCTCAACATGATGAAATTGTACAGATTGTGAAATTTCTGATGGAATTAAACTAAAAGCCTTTCCCTTCCAACAAGGAGAATCCACATCAGCGTCACTATCACCGAGAATATTCAAGAACTGATTTTGAGGAGCACTTTTAGCAGAAGATATATCACGTGATATCTTGAGTGGAGCAACTTTGTTTTGTGCCTTAAGAAAGGAGCTAGACTCATCCGCAGATTGTTTTGATCCTTTGGAATTTGATAAAATGTCTTTTCCCGCAATTATACCAGTGCTTTTTTCAAAAAGGCCTTCGGATGCTGTTAGATGATGATTCAACCCGTCGACAGCTGGCTTAACTGTACAAACCATTCCATAGTTTCTCAATTGTGTGTCCTATTTTGTATTGTAAATAAAATTTTATATGAAACATGAAGTCAAAACTAGTCATTAAACACCATTAAAATAAAAATTCAAAAAATAAAAGCACTAAATAGATCCTAAATGGGAGCCAAGTTTTTGATGCAACTGCAGCAGCATAACTGAACCAGTTCACAGTACCAAGAGTACGGTATGTGTACCTGGTACCGATACTTCACCATTTTAAGAGTAACAATGCTTCATAGATATCACCCCTACAGGCCTCATGTTTGAGGGATTGTGTGCATTATGATATTTCACAAAAAAGAATAAGGGCCGGACCCAGACCCGGACATAACCCGCCCCGCCCTAATCCATTCACAGGGAAAGACCAGGCCAAGTTACTCTTAATGGGTCAAGCCAAGAAGGCCGACCCAAGATCAAATACAAGTCACTCTTGATGATTTATCCTATATACTTATAGACAGAACATTTAAGCCATTGACTAGCCTTAAAAGGCCAACCTTGGACAAGGGGACAGAGGACTTAACTCCCCTTTATTGCTCTCAGCTAGGCAAGGAAACATATACCACAATGACAATTAAACTGGCATAAAATTCAGGGGCTCTATAAAAACCAGCAATCATCAAGCATAGAGGATGGGTACTTTTCAAGCCAAATACATTCAGATAAACATTGCTACTGACTGACCTAGCATCAGTCGAGTTATCAAATTAGTGTAGCTAGCGTGTACAAATAGAAACCAATAAAAAGAGTCATTTTATTTTCATCTAAGATGCCCATGTCAACATAGGGTGAAATAACTTTCTTATATAGTAACCAATTTTAAGATGGAGTGAAGACAGGACCTAAAAAGTTCATGGCTGAACTATCAAGACAAGTATATCAAATTAAAATTGCAATAAAATTTAGCAAGACATAAACAACTACCTTTCTGAAGCATGCTCACATCACCAGCTGAACTTCCAACTTCAAACTGTGTCCAATTAATCACATCAAAGTCACCATTTTTAGCCAATTCCCGAAAAGGGTTCCTTTCAAAAACTGAAACTCCACGAGAAGCACCTTCATCCGGCAAAGTTGTGGTTTTGACAGTGCCATTCAAAGACACAGAACAACCCTTTGAACCAAGGTTACTTTTTCGAAAAGAATCAAGCAAAGAACTAAAAGGGTCATCATCAACACCATCATCATTATCACAATGATCGAAGGATTTGGTAGAGGGTTTAGGTGATAAAGTAGAGGCGCGATTGAGAGTGAAGGGTTTTGCTTGTGCTGACAAACGAGAAGTGGTTAATGAAGACATCTCGTTTTGATTCATCTTTTGTTTTGGTTTTGTCTCTTGTGTTTTCCTTTACAATTTTTTGGTATGTGATTTGATGAATGGTTGTGATGATAATCGAAAATAGCACCCTCAGAATCTTGGTTTTATCATCGTAAAAAACGAAAGAGCTTCCAGGTCAATAGTAGACTTTGATGTTTCATGGCTAATTACCGCTATAATTATTTTCCTGGTTTCTTCCATGGTTGGTCTTGGAAATAGATTTTGAATATTTTATTATATAAATGTTTTTCTTTATTTTAAATTTTCTTTCAACATTATTATTGAAAGACTTATTCATCTAATCTACTAGCAGTATTAAACTTCTTGAAAATAAATTTTATCGTCTAGTTCTTTTCCTAGAGATTTAGTATAGGCAGTTGCGCACATAATATATATATATATATATATATATATATATATATATATATATATATATATATATATATATATATATATATATATATATATATATATATATATATATATATATATATATATATATATATATATATATATATATATATATATATATATATATATATATATATATATATATATATATATATATATATATATATATATATATATATATATATATATCAAATTCAACAAAACATAATATTTGAAAGTTGTAGTTGTAGCTATGGGTGGAAGTAAATCAAATCTAGTAAGAGATAAGGATCTACGGTAGAGATAGCAATTGGACTAATAGCAAATGGATGTTTGCAGTAAAAAATACTATTTATCCACAAAATAGATAAATATTTCTTTATCGTATTTTATATGTTTTTCTTATGCATTATACAAATATTTTAAAATGTTTTTCTTTTTGGAGTGTATTTTTTTTGATGTACTTCTTACACATTCAATAAAGGTTATTCAAGAATTTCATCTTCGAATATATGTACGGAATTTTGAAATTTCTTGTCATTTTTATATAAAAGATATTTCTAAAGATGTATATTCAGAATAATATGATAAAAGAAATAGTTGTATGTTCATATTTTCATTGTTGTCATTGATGTTTTTCAACCAACCCTTCACCAAAAAATCTTCCATTCTCAATCCACATTTTCACTCCAAATCTCCATTCTTTTGGTTCATCACATCATAGAGAGTAAAAGAAGATAAAGTTTCAGGTAAGGATCCTTTCTCTGGAAAAAGAAAGTAGCATTGTATTCGGAAATGCATCTCCGAAACGAGTATGAACTTGTCCGAAGATGTATTTTTGAAAGTTTTTAGTGTTCACTTTTCAAGTTTGTCTTTAGCAGTAGCGCCTATATACTGTTATAGTTTTAATTATTTTCATTAGATATGGTGCACTCCGATGTTTTCGCAAAACAAGTTGTTTCTTCGAATGTCCAAGGTGTTGTTGTGAAGATGGTAGATGTTTGCAACCAATTTAAAAACAAGCAAGAGTTTGAATCTCGTGATCAAATGCTTCAATGGATTTGTATGGAGGCTTTTAAATCCAAATTTGTTGTGGTTATCGGAAGGTCTGATAATGGTTCAGATAGAAGATGTGCTTTTATGACAATGACGTGCAAAAGAAGTGGGAAATATAGAACTCTTCTCCAAAATTTTAAAAGAGACAACACTGGTTCTAGAAAATGTGAGTGTCTGTTTAAGGTGTGTGGTTACATGTTGGCAAACAAAAATTGGAGACTTAATGTGATATGTGGTTTGCATAACCATGTTTTGTGTGAAAAATTAGTCGGTCATCCTAATGTGTGTCGGCTCATGCCAGAAGAGAAGGAATGTGTTATTGACATGATCTTGAATTTGGTTCAACCGAAAAATATACTTGCAACATTGAAAAAGAAATGACACAAAAATATATCAAATATCAAGCAGGTGTATAATATTTGATACCTCACTAACAAGGCGTTTAAGGGCGATAGAACTGAGATGCAACAACTCTTGAAACTGTTGGATGATAACAGTTGTGTGTTTAGGTACCGAACGTGCGAGGATGGAGTTATTGTTAGAGATATATTTTCAACTCATCCCGGTTCCATAAAGTTGTTCAACACGTTTTCTACGATGCTCATACTTGATTCAACCTACAAGACCAACAAGTATAGACTTCCATTATTGGAGATGGTTGGTGTTACCTCAACTTAGAAGACATATTATGTTGGTTTTGCATTTCTTGAGTGTGAAAAAGCGGACAATTTTACTTGGGCCTTAAAGGTGTGTCGGACACTATTGAAGGACTAAGGTGAGATGCCTAAAGCGATTATTACCGACCGTGATACCACATTGATAAATTCGGTTGCAAAGGTATTTCCTTCTTCTAATGCATTACTTTGCAGGTATCACATAACAAATAATGTGAGAAGTTGAGTTAAATCCGTGGTAGGGACGAAACAGATAGAGTTCGAAGATGGAAAAATGGTGAAGGTAGGTGTGGTTGTGGAAAAAATAATGGATGCATGAAATGGTATAATAATTTTTTCACAAAAGAACTATATACCGATTTTGTTATGCATTTCAGGAAAGTGTGTCAAAAGTATATGGATTTGTTGAAATATGTTGAAAGCACAATTCTTTACCAGGTGAAGGAGAAAATTATTTATGCGTAGACTGATAATGTTAGACACCTTAGAAATACAACAATTAACAGAGTTGAGTTTTTCCATGCTACTTTGAAAAATTCGTTGGAAAATAGTATGGGTGATTTGTGTAGAGACTGTGACTCCGTGAACCACATGATTCAAAACCAACATAATGAGATACAAATATCATTTAGTCAGAGCATCATAGTTTTGGAACACAAATTTAAAGGCAACGCTCTACATTCTCAATTGATCAGTAACATTTCTCGGGCGGGTTTGAATTATATTTTTCACGAGGCTAAACGAGCTGATAATGTAGGCTTTGATAGCGTAAATTTTGGATGCACAATTATGAAAATATATGATCTCCCATGTACTTGTGTTATTGCTTACAAGGTGAAACTTGGTGACCCAATAAGAATGGACGAAGTTTGTACTCATTGGAAGAGACTTAGGTTTGATGATGATGGTGTCATGAATGATAGTAAATCAAATATCTCTATTTAAACCTAATGAGAAGTGATATAATAGAGATTTTTGAAAGCCGATGACAACATGAAACTCCATAGCAAAGAACAATTGAGAAATATTATCTATCCGAAGACTACCGACATGAAACCGCCCTCTCAACCCGTAAAAACAAAAGGTGCTCAGAAGAAAATGAAGCCTATACCAAATGACAATTTTACTACACAGTCTCCTTCATATTTTGAACATGTTGATAAAGTTTTTCCCAACTCACCAACTCCAAAACCTCAAAAAAGTGTCGTCAAAAGAGGTTACATTAGCAAACCACCTTCGACGCCGCCTCCACCAAAGATTCTATTCATCGACGAGATGTCGGTTTTTATGCACAAATATATTGAGTGGATCATCAATTTTGTGGGGGATGGTAATTTCGGTTACCGAGTCGTTTCAACTTTACCCGGTAAAGGATAAAATAGTCATTCACTTGTCCGCCATCAACTTATCCAAGAGTTGAAGACGCATAAAGAATAATACACATGGTTGTACAAAAAGAAAGAAAAATTTGATGAAGTTTATGAGTCTTTTGTTCCTTGCCTTAGTCGTCCGGTACCGAAGGCAAAACAGATGTGCTTCCTTGAAATGAGTCACCTAATTACATGTGCATATGATAGAGTCTGCGTTGACCTGACACGCTACAGTTTTTTGGAAACCTTTTTCTCACTAGCACCGCCCCACCTCAAAATCCAAATGATCATATCATGTGTATTGGATGACTTTCAAAATCAAGTCATTTTGTTCAAGTATACTTCAAACCGGGATGCCTTATACCACCACTTACATCACCGGAGTGGACGACTCATTGAACCACAAAAGTTGAGACTTTGTCGAATCATTTTATGGAAAGGATGCAAGAATTCAAGAAATTGAACAACATTGAAAAAGAATCAAATGCACAAAGTCCAAGGGGATACCACCTATAGATTTAGCCAGCGACATATGTTGCGATTCATTTTAATTTCTTGTTTAATCGGATAAATAATTGTATGTAATTGTGTCTCAATATAAATGAAGTGTAATATATTCACATTTTGTTCATATTGTGTCTTAATGTATTTATTTTATCTTCCCCGTATCAACATTTGTTCTTTTGTAAATGAAAAAATAGGTTTTGTTTTGGAACTGATTCAGAAAAAGTTCCGGAGATGCATCTTCGTAACAAGATAATAAGGTGTGGTTCCGGAGATATATCTTTGGAAGCAACTTCCTAGTTATTGAGTGGTCCATATTGATCAATGGTTTCTATAAATTAAGGTGCTCTTATTTTACACTTCACACAAACTGAAAATGTCTCAAATGTCACAAATCAACATCTATTGATATTTCGCAAAGGCCTCCTACTCCAGGTCTACACCTGGGCGAATGTTTAAGCTCACCGATCTCACCTCCCTCGAAGATATCAAAGACGAAAATCCATTATCTCCTACCTTACAGAGATAATCAATGGATTGTGAAGCTCGAGTACCTTTCACCATCGATTGACAACAAAGGGAAGATTGAGTTCAACAAATTTAAGCTCAAGACACAAGCATATGTAAGGGCTATGTGGAATACGTATTTCCATGTCAAAATAAAAATTACGCTCGAGTTGGAAGCGAGAGTATCAAGATCGGTCGAAGATATTGCGATGTTGAAGTTTCCACCTGGATATTGAAGTGTAATGTTGCATTTTATGTTGAAATCATCTATGTAATGATTATTTTATGTTATGAAAGTTAATTTCAATTTTGAAAATTACTTTATTTTGACTCTGCTACTGATTTGTCTGTGTTATGGAAATGTTACTACAGAAATATTCTAGAGATGCATCTTCGAAATACAGTAAACCAAAAAAAGGGCGTAACTAAGAATGACCTTTGTTGAGTCTAAGTTAGGGTGCGTCCAGAGATACATCTCTGAAAATGGGGGACACTA